GGTCCAGCACCTCTAGCAGTCCAAGTCAACAACTCCAGCCCGGTCCAAGCTCCAGCTCCAGTCAGCCCAACAGCCAAGTCCAGCTCCAGACAACTGGCCCAATAGCCAGCTCCTGCATCCAAGCTACAGCCCGTCCAGCAGTAGACAGCCCAAAAGCCCAGGTCCTGGAGTCCACAAGCCCAATGCCCAACAGCCTGGATCGGTTCTGGCTTCTACGCGAGATCAGCGATGGACAATAGCGTATCTTCTACGCGAGAAACCTCTGCTCCAACGATGAACAGAGGACGCCGACGATGGATGATCAGAGGTCGAGTTCAACCTCCAGGCAGCGAACGGCGAGGTTCCTGGCGACGACGACGGCTTGGGTTCTAGGTGTCGGCGGCGGGTCTCCCAGGCGACGGTGAGCTTTCGGCGGCGGCGATGGCAGAACTTCCAGGCGTTGATGGCGAAGAATCAACTTCCGGCGAGCTGCGATTTCAGCAAACAGAGAAATCGGCGAGCTCCAGAGAACGACCAGGCAGCTCCAAGACCTTTGGCTAGCTCCAGTCGACGGCGGCGGCGGCGGCGGCGGCGGCGGCGGACGGCGGCAGACGGCGGTTCCGGCTCTGATACCACTGTAAGGACCGTTTCCGTCTCCGGCTCAGGTCTCCAACCTTCTAAACTAAACTCACACACCACTCTAGGGCTAGGCCACAACATCTCCCATGTTTACTCACTCTTCTTCACTCCACAAAGGAACTCTCACACAAAGAAAGGAAGAAGGAAGACTCTGCTGATATCTTGCAGGCTTATCTCACAAAGAAGGAAAGGAGCAGACTTTATACTAGGCAGGCTGCCAATTTGAGAAGTCACGGGTAAACAACAGGACACTCACGGGTGTGGCCAAGACAACAAAGGCTCACGGGTATAAGCAAGGCAGCAGCGGACAAAAAACAATGGGGCATACTCCAGATAAGTCAAACAGGCCATAATAAGTGATTTCAACTCTGGGAATCAAAGTGGGAGTAAACATGGGGTGCAAGCCTAAATAATAAAGTGGAAGGGAAGCCTTGGTAGGACCAATACCTCCAACAGATTCCTAATAACACCATCAAAGAGAAGCGTGACGATTGAGAGCAATTTAAGGTAATTTTCTCGCCTTAAATGAGCTGTGAGAATTAGCTTCTTGTTGGGATTAGTATCATTGGATCAATCATTGATAGTTTTATCGGGAGCTATATATACTGAGAACTTGGGATCCGGAACCTCTACCTTACTTTAGAGTAAGGTAGAGTGCATTGCTTCCTCCCGGTCGTCCGATCGACAATTCAACGGTTGGAGATCTTGGGCTCCACTTTTTTGCCGATCTCGAGGCCGTGTTGGCCGCTCCCCTCCCGTCCGATGCGCAAGGCACCCTCCTAGTCGGGTAGAGGATCCCAATCCGAGAACTTGAGCACATAAACAATTAATCAGTTAAGAATGATATCGTTATGCACAGTGGTATATGGGTGAAGGTGAGAAATATTCGACTATGGGTATTCAATTCGATAATGATGAATATTTGAACATGCACACCATTAAAATTGTTAGGCCAAATGATTTTGATATGATCGAGTTCAAACTGGTATTGTCAAATGAGATTATTAAATATGAAATAATGATTTATGTTAGTTACAGTATGTCCAATCCTGGATGATATTGATCAGATATCATTATACTAACTTTAACCATATCTGATCTTTAATTTATTCATAAGTTTATTTTAGAATAGTAAATAGTCCTAAATATAATACTTTATTTCATGCAATAATTAAAATATGCTCCGTATTGAGTATGGCTACCAATAATACCAACTCCAAGGCTGGAGACAGGGAGGGTTGGAGGGGTCTCAGCCCATGCAAGAAAAAAATTCTTAAGTATATATTATGTATAAATACTTTTAACCTATAGAAAGTATGTTGATATTTTAAATTTTGGCCCTGCAATGTAAAATTTCTAAGGATTGACCTCCTCAATCATACATTTCTGGCTCCGCCACTGACCAAGTCTTATGGTACAGCTTGGTACAAACGCGTGTTCTGTATATGAATATGGCAGATAGTAAAAGAGTATTTCACTTCATAATTCATAGTTAGACTCGTCAATAGTGTGACAAAAGAAAAGATGTGAATACTTTGTGATAGATGTAAAAAGAAGTTAGAAGGTAGTTGTGGGAGCAGAGGGAGTAAATTCTATCATTTTTTGAAGAGCCCCATGTTTTTCAAAGGAAATGAAACTCTATCTAAACTCTAGAAACGTTCTTCGATCAGACTCTGAGACGGTTAATTACCTTAAAAAAAACAATGTGAATCACTAACCACCAAACGAAGAACATAGAGTTCTTTTGACCTTTAAATTCAATGTACTCTATCATTTCACTAGACTCATGATAGTCAATTCCCCTCACTGATGAGACAGATAAAAGTACACTCAAATTGAGCAAAACTTTTCACTAAACATACGAAAGTTTCGAAGCAATTAACGGCCTTAGAAATCTTAATACTTCTATTCAAAACTAAACTAGATAACTCAAGTTTGCCACTAACACAAACAATATGAAAACAAAGTAAATAGTTTACGAATATAACAATGAAACTTGAAATAAAAGTAAAACAAACTCTAGCCACTCGTTCACTCCATGGTGGCGAGTGGCGACTCAGGAGGAAGCCGGATTATCAATATTTCATCTTCTTCTTCCAAGATCAAAAGATCAAAGGACAAAATAGATGACATTGTAGTTGCTGCCGGTGATACACAAATAATTCCAAAATACTTCATTGTGAATCAAAATAGGATAAAGATGAGAAGTGAAAGGGAGTGTCTATTCTAAACATGATATTCTTTTTTTTACCCTGGAAGGTAAACCACCAAAATCAGTGGGGTAAATGCCGGGGCACATTTACCATGTTTTTATTAAATAGAAAAACAGATACAGAGAGAGGGGGTACCAAACCAAAACCCCTCCAAGGAGGCATTCCTCCCAAAAATAACACGAGAGAAAAAAGAACAGAAACAAGATCCACTAAGGGGGCTAGGCCTGACCCAATGGAGTACATCATAACACATATCTAAACATTAAGAATGATTTTAATTGAAATGGTTTAAATTTAGATTAAATGAAATCGGACTAGACTTAAACAGATCATATCGGATTTCGAAAGTTGTAGAAGACACATACAAATATCTATTAAACAAGGTTAGTTCACATCATATCAAACTTAAAGTGAGCATACCAAACAAAAAATCAATCTAATTAAAAACGGTTAAAAGTAAAAATTTGCATTAGTATAAAAGTTAGGCTAAAGAGTCAAATAGGTACATGAACTAATTTAAAGTGTTCAATTAGCATCTTAAATAGGAGGTTCTGCCCGGCCGTCGCCAATTGGGGCGGTTTCCGGTTGAATTTTTTGATGAAATTTTTTGAGCATCTTCTTCATTAAGTCTAGTTACCCATACCAAATTTCATCTAAAAGTTCAACCGGGAAGTCAGTCAAATGATTTTTCGAAATGTATTGCGCTGTTTAACTGCGTAGTTATCTTCAAAAAATCATTTGACTGCCTTCCCGGTTGAATTTTTAGATGAAATTTGGTATGAGTAAACTAGACTTAATGAAGAAGATGCTAAAAAAAATTCATCAAAAAATTCCACCGGGAACCGCTTCAATTGGCGACGGCCGGACATAACCTCCTATATAAAGGGTGGGAAAACTGTCAAATAGGTCCTCGAACTTTCATAAATAAGTCAATAAAGTCCTTCTATAGTAGACTCTGTACGGTAGTCGCGATTTGGGGTGGTTCCCGATGGAATTTTTTGATGAATTTTTTTGAGCATCTTATTCACCAAGTCTAGTTTACTCATACCAAATTTCATCTAAAAATTTAATCAGGAGCGTATTCAAATTAATTCAAGAACGCAAAAATGCGCAGTTATCTTCAAGAATTAATTTGAATGTGTTACCGATTGAATTTTTAGCTGAAATTTGGTATGAGTAAACTAGACTTGGTGAATAAGATTCTCAAAAAAATTCATCAAAAAATTCCACCGGAAACTGCCCCAAATCGCGACGGCCAGACAGAACCTCTTATAGAAGGACTTAATTGACCTTTTATGAAAGTTTGAGGACCTATTTGACAGTTGTCCATATAAAGGGTTTATTGAACACTTTAATTAGTTCAAGTACCTATTTGACCCTTTATCCCTAAAAGTTAAAAACAGTTCGGCATTAGAAGCTTCTTGACTGAAAAGAATTGCATCTTTTTTTGGCAAAAGAGAATTGCAACTTTATTTGACCAAAAACTACGTAGTACTACGTACTCTTCAAAGTTTCTAGTTACTCTTTTTGACAGAAGTCCACAAAATTGAACTACTTATAGTCAATCATCATTGTGCTGTTCGTAACGTTTACTTGCAATGTATCCATTCTCATCCACACCACCTTTTGATAACCATATGAACAAATCACATCAAAAAAATCCTCTTTTCATCTTCTTAGTAAACTACAAATTTCACATTTATCCATCTTCTTCCTCGTCTCATTGATCTGGAGCCGCTAGCTAGCATACCAATCTTGCTAATCAAACACATTCTAAAATGGGTTCCCTAATGAAAACGCTCATCATCCAAAATCACAAAAGATTATTATTATCACTAGGCGGCTGCCCTGCTGCTGCGGCGGCTTCCACCATTCCATCCCTTCGCCGTTTTAAGTCATCCGGCGCAATGGCGCAGGAGTCTCCTGCTCTGTATACGGATAGCGACGGGGACGAAGACGCTAAAATTCCGGTTAGTTTCATAAATGGGAACCTCTGTCTGGAATCTCAGACCAGCTGAGGACAGAAATTGTCTTTTGCTTACTTTCTGTAGCGCGTTTAGTACTGTTTACACGCGCCGCCATACACATTGATTGATCTATATATGTGCAATTGATCTGGCAGAAAACATTTACGAGAAATTAGCTTTGAAATGATTTTTAAATGAGCAGGCATTGGATTTCCCAGGCGGGAAGGTGCCTTTCACTACGAAGATGAAGTTTATTACTGGAGCTATTGATGAAGATGGGAGGATCCCCTGTTTTCGTGTTCTGGATGATGACGGCAATCTCTTGCCCGCCGGCACCGCATTGGATCAGGTAGCTAGTTACTCCACCGAAATAATATTCATGTTTTTCTTTTTTATCTTTTATTTTTTACGCAAATTTTTCTTTTTTATCTGAATACTTATTTAGTAAGGAAAAAAGAAGTGTTTCTTATGATTTCATACCCTTTCTACCACACTTCAACCGGCCCCTCTTTTCTTTTTCAACCACTCTTAATAAGCAGGTAAAACTCAAAGTTTTTATTATTCAATTCAACTTTAAATTAGTTTTAAAAAACCCATCTTAAATGGTTAGATTTTCCATTAGGCGTGTTTCAGAAGTTTTTTCAGTTAAATTAAGATTAAAATTGTATTGCTGTGTATTGTGTAAAAAAGAAATGAAAAATATGACAAAATCCAAAAAGTAAAAAAATGGCTAAAAATGGAATGTGGGAGAGATAATATGAACTTTTAATGAAGGAAAGTGAATATAAGTTTAGAATTGGTTTGGGTCACCACTATACATCGACTTGGATCATACCATAATAAAGATGTTTAAAGATAAATCAGTTAATTCAACTCACATTCTGAATAGATTCACCTTTTTTCTAAAAGGTGAAAGAAGAAAAGGCAGTGAAGATGTATAGTACAATGGTGAGTGTTGAAACAACGGACACCATATTTTATGAAGCGCAAAGGCAGGGGAGATTGTCCTTCTACTTAACCTCCTATGGAGAAGAAGCTGTCAGCATAGGATCTGCGGCTGCCCTCTCCCCCCAAGACATTTTAATGCTTCAGGTTCATTACTACTTACTAGTACTGCACTTTTTGTGTGTGTTAATATATATAGATGTTACATCTTGAAAGATCAATCTGATATGAGTGACAAATCAATGCCTTTTATATTGTTTTTTATTTTATAACCAGGCGATGTGAGACATACTTTTTGATAAATGGTTTTGCTGTACGAGTAATTTAAAAAGCCATGATCCTTTAATTAGTTCATATCTAACATCCAATTTTTTATCATACGGAATATATATAGTACCGGGAACTAGGGGTTCTGTTCTGGAGAGACTTCACCCTGCAAGAAATGGCAAACCAATGCTTTGGGAATAAGTATGACTACGGGAAAGGCAGGCAAATGCCCATTCACTATGGTTCCAACAAGCACAATATCTTCACCATTTCTTCCCCTCTTGCGTAAGAGTTCAGTCTTTTTCTATGATAAAAAATGAACGTTATGTGAAAAAAAACAATAATGATGAAGTAAAGCTAAACTCCTATATCTTTCCATAGGACACAGATACCTCAAGCGGCAGGAGCAGCGTATTCGCTGAAAATGGAGGGTAAAGACGCTTGTGTAGTGACTTATTTTGGAGATGGAACCACAAGTGAGGGAGATTTCCATGCTGGCTTAAATTTTGCAGCGGTTATGGAAGCACCTGTGGTGTTCATATGTCGTAACAATGGATGGGCCATTAGCACTCCTCTCGCTGAACAATTCCGAAGTAACACTACATAATATACAAGAAATACTAAAGCAGCTTTTGCTAGCTCACTTTTTTCAATTAGTTTGGCCACTAAATGAGTGTGTTTATTGCGTACATAGGTGATGGAATTGTGAGTAAAGGAAAAGGTTATGGGATTAAAAGTATTCGTGTTGATGGAAATGACGCTCTTGCAGTCTACCATGCCATCCGTGTTGCTCGTGAAATGGCCATCAAACAACAAGCCCCCATACTTGTTGAGGTATTCATTAAAAAGCTATTTGGAAATGTCTTTTTGGCTCACATAGCTTAATTTGCTGAATTTTAAAAGCAAATATGTTCGATAAATCCACTTCAACCAAACAAGTAAATCAAAAGGTGCTTGTGATTGCGCTACTATAGGCGCTGCTTTTGGCTACCAAATAGACTTTTCTTCATCATCAACATAACTGCTCTAAATAAGAGGCTATCACTTCACTAGAAATGGCATATTGACTTCATACAAAACATTTTACTCCATCCTAAAATAAAACTATGTTTTTCTTTTTGGATTTTTTCCTTTGGTTAAAATAAGTCTTACTTTACCATCCATGTGTGATATCCCTGCCTAATGCTATTAAGTACTCACAATCACATATCACAAGGACATTATAAGAACTTTTAGAGATGGAGTGATGGAGGTAGTATAACTGTTTGTGTGTGTGTATTGTTTCCACTCTGATGTTGTAATAAATCAAACACCTTATCTAGGCCCTAACGTATCGTGTATCTCACCATTCAACATCTGATGATTCCACCAAGTACCGCCCAACACAAGAAATAGAGCACTGGAAGACAACACGAAGCCCCGTGGCAAGGTTCCGAAAATGGATACAGAAGAAGGGATGGTGGAGTGATGAGAAGGAAACTCAACTTCGCCGGGATACCAGAGTTCAGGTTTTACAAGCAATTCAAGAAGCAGAGAGGATGGAGAAACCTTCACTGTCAAATTTGTTTACTGATGTTTATGACCATCTGCCTTCAAACCTTAAAGAACAAGAAAAATCATTAAGAGACACTGTCATGAGACACCCTAAGGATTACCCCACCGATATCCCCATCTAGAACAGCCATATTATGCTGTAGTATATTGTACTATTCTAAAAGGCCTACAGATTATGGATTGAAGACATGAATCATGAATTGCATGGCATTGTATTTTACTTGTTTATGGTGGTAATTGTAATTGGGACTGCAAAATAACTATTCCTTGATTGTATATTTTGAATGGGAGATTTATTGCATCTTTGATCCGTGTGCTCTTCAAACCGAACATTATATTGTTTTGGAAAAACATCACTAACATAGGCACTTCTAAGCGGCTGAAACGGTTTGCTTGAGGATTATATAACCAGGCAAACCTCTACTCTATAAGGATGTTTTCAATGGGACTAATTTCAATCCCAGAACAGACTTCGACAATTGTAAAGTGCACATGAAAAAGACATCTACCAAACCATTTCAGACTAGACTAGAGTTAAAGAAGCCAAATCAGACCAGAAAATTATAATCCAACAGAAAAACATCTTAAAAGACTAACATCTGATGATTCCAAGAAAGTGGGAAGGAATACCCAAGAAAGTGGTAAAACAGTAATCGGTGATAATATTTTGAAACTCAGAAAAATGTACGAAAAAAACTAACAATACAGAGACACAGAGTAATTGCCAAATAATCTTTCATTTCAACAATTCAACCTAGCCAGCATATGTTTTGTGGGGAGGGGGACATATCATGATCAACCTTAAATTGCAATTCTGCATTAGACTTCAACTTCAAAACTGTGTTCTCAAGCACAAGTCACAATTCACAATCATCAGTTATTTCATTACCAAAAAGAATACAGAACATGAAACCTGAACCAATTCAGGGATGGTTTGCTAGAGCCTGGCTCAGTCAGTCGGTCAGTTATACAATCAATTTGCATGGTACAAAAAAATGAAGGCTACAAGTTAAAACTTGAGCTATTAGTAGTAGTACAGGTCTGATTTCCCTTGTATGCATATATACCCCCTAATACAAAGAAAGCACCATGTGCCCAGTTTACAATGTTCCAAAAACACCAGTCTTTGTTTAGCCGAAACTAACTGGCTTCTGTCAACCTTCTTCCCCGGTGACAGCCAAATTCTCCTCATAGTTAAGAGTTTTAGCAGCATTGAGTAGCATGTCTACACCACCACCGCCAGACTTATATAAAGCCTCACCGTTACCTTTTTCCTTGTGTAACACTCCACACGCCTGATCTCTCTCTTTCAATCTCTTTGCAATTTTCTCATATGACCTTTTCACCTTGGATATGCGCTGTATACCAGCTTCACATTTTTCACAGAACCATTTTCCAGTTGGAACCGAAGACTTTGGGGGTCTCATGCAGTACATATGGTATGCATGGTCACATCCATCACACAGAACAATTTCGGTGTCATCACAATCTTTGCGACATCTTCTACAAAGACAAGACGGACAATACCATATGGGACCATGATAACACAACTCCTCCCAACTCAGGCATCTCTCATGGTAAAATTTGTGAGGGCAGAATTTGTGACTACACATTTTTAAGCTCTCACCACCATGCTTTGCCTCTGTTTTACAGACATTGCATATGGGCTCTTCGTCAAAATATTGGACATGTTCGTTGTCATTGTCGTCGTCCATTAAGCCATTTGAGCTCTCCATCTCAATCTGCTTTTCTAATTTCATAAGCTCATCGTCATGGGGTTCTTCTTTAGAGGCACTGAGTCTTTCACAAACTACACAGTTGGCGTGTTCAATATCCTTTTTGGTACACTTGGCGCAATACCAGTTCTTTGCATATGGGATTTCTTTAACAACAGGGTGGATGCAGGAAACATGGTATATCTGCTCGCATGTATCACAAACTAAGGAATCGGTTCCATGTGCAGTCTCTCCACATTGCTTGCAGGTCCTTGGCTTCAGACTGTCTGCTTGGCAATTCGTGCCAAGTTCCTCTGTAACAAACTGAAAATTTATAACAAAATACAAGTTAGTACTAGGAGCTGTAAATATCTTCAAATAACTACTATTTCAATCATGCAAAGATTCAAATATAATATCTTGTGAACTATGTTAAACCTATTGCAGTGGATCTGAAACCATATGGTGCTCAGAGCTTGAAGTTAGAACTAGTGAACTACAAACTTCATAAATAGTCAAACTCAGATGTCAACACCATAAATAGACCGCTCTTTATGCCTTCTTTTGGAAGGAATAAATCTCCTAATTTCTACGCATTTCTTCTTCATTTCCCTCCTTACAACCAATCTCAAAATCTACCCAGTTTTTCTACTATGTCTCTCTCTTCTACATCTACTTTTCACCCATTTCTCTATTCTCTATTTCTTCCCTGAGACAAAAAAGGCTAGAAGGGGGAGAGATGTAACTAGTGCAATATAGGTGTGTGTTAGGCTGTTGATTAAGCGAGATGCCGACATAGGTAGCCAATTTTAGTAATGACAAGAAAATCCAAAACTGTTGTGATCATGGCATATTTTCACTTCCATGGAAGATATCATGAGACAACAATGATTTATGATAGTTGTTATATTTGTGCTCCATTGCACCATAAGAGATGATCAGATGATTAGCAATCTCAGATCACACAAGTTAGACCAAAAGTGAAACAAATGAAGCACATACGAGTGGAAAGTATATATGAGCATGACCACACACAGAGAGAGATTGATCAAAGATAGCACGATTTAGGAGCAGTTGCAATTCATGTACCTGAGACCGGAAACAAAAGGTAGATTTGTTTGAAAGACTCCTTGAAATAGCTAGTAATTCACTTCCAACCTTATGAAGCTTTGACCACATCTGCAAGTGAGCAGCGAAATCAGTGATTTGCAAGTTTAAATTATCCTGAGCATAAACTCTTAACACAAAGTGAAATAATATTTTCAAGTGAAATAAAGACTGCTAATTAAGCATGCACAGCCATTCCCTACTTCAAAAGATCTGTCAACATAAATTTTGGACTGCAATGTTCATAGTAATTGATAAATCCAGTTCCCTTTTCCTGCGCACTAAGCACACATGAACATGTTTTAAAAGGCTCATTAACAAAAAAAACTTGAAAATTGTCAAATCAATGTATCATACATGCATTGAGCAACCAAATCAAAAACAGTACACACAAAAGTTTAACCAGAAATAAATGACAAGCCCACGTATTCTTAAAAGAATGCACAAGAATATCACATAATCGTATTAAAATAATAACCCCATTACCATAGGACAACAGAACCCTAACATTTAAAAACATAGCATCCTCTCACAGTCTGGTAGAAGCAAATGCAGGGAACCCTAAGTCCCTAATTAATCCTAATAGATTTCTTCCTTGTTAAGTATGACTACCTATAACTACCATGCATCCACAATTTTTTCAGACATCTCCATGAATCCACCTCCCCTAAAACATAACCAGTAGATATTGTACCAAGAGATCAAGAGCATGATCATTCATATCAATTATCTAGGCAAATGGAAAGTAACAAAACTATAAATGCGAAAAGTATTCTCTTTCAAAATTTGACAGAAACGTGTCTGCAGCATTTCTATAAATTATTATTAACAAGGTAAATAGCAATATATGAGACACAAAATATGATTTGAGGATGAACAAGTGCAAATTGCTATCTAGGACACATCCATTTATTTATAACAATATCAATATATGTATCAGGCTACATGCAGTGAAGTGACCAACATTTTAAATAAAGACTGAAAGACATCAGAAACTAGTTTCTCAAACTTCTTCAAATTTGGGGATAGAAGCATCCCAAGGACCGATTAAAATTATCACAATCGTGAGATGACAGTCAAATATTAGCATGTAGAATAAACTGTTTGGATTTTGGAAGTTAAAAAAAGTTTAAAAAAGCAATTCAAATGGCCATTGACACACTACTATAAAGTTTTAAAAGATGAATCAAGTGTCATATTGCCAAAACACCATATGTTTTAAAGATATTGTGATGGTCCAGTGCAGCAAAAGAGTCCATCTAAGGATTCTAAGCCCATAATCCTCAATTTCTAGCATCTAACCTATTTATGTGCCTCACAGTATAGCACTCCCACAGAATGATCTTAAATGCATGGAAAAAGCCTCATCTAGGGAACTCAAAGTCGCACCTCTTGAATATCAGAGTAAAATGACATGGGAGAATCTTCATACAGTCCATCTTTCATCTTTGAATGCATAGTGCCAATATGGAGAAACTTATCAGCCTTTGTTCCTTCAAAGTTCTCAAAAATCATGTGGCATAATTGAGAAAAATCTTCGGATAAGATAATATCTGAAAACAAGCGCTGGCAGAGCTGACTAGTTGTGCAATGATCTGGTCCCTTTACTAATCCAGTGGATGGCGTGTCCACATTCCCATTAGCCAGGACATCAGAAGTCATCGAGTTTGATGGAAGAGTGCACTTTGTGTCATCATTGCAGCAATTAACGGATTCCTTGCATAACAAACAAAATACTGAAAAGATCGAAAGAAGTTGTGATGATCTAATTGAACATCAAACTGAAATACCTTGACTGAAGTTGCACATTCAGTGTCAGCATGTGAAACTAAAGCCTCTCTTATGCATTTTTTCAAGCCACTTTCACTCTCCAATGATAGGTAAATCTGCTCTAGAACAACATTCCTCAATCTGATTTTAGAGAGATTAATGGGCTCATTCAAATGGTCATTTGATCCCCCCTGAGCAACACTAGTTTGTGAATGAGAATTCCTGTCCACTGGCTGCAGTAAATATATTCAAAAATGATCAAACGAATGAAGCATTGACAAAAAAGCAGTGGTTAGAAAAAGGCCAAAGTGGTACAAATCTACAGAAATAAGCATAAAAATCAGCAAAAAATAACCTTCAAAATCTATACAATAATGCACCATTAATTTCACATGGATAGGAAGCATGAAGGAAATCAATAAGACAATAACAGCAGGCACAATGGCAAACATTGTAAGACAATAGCATAGACTATAGACAAAAACAACATTGTATAAATTATGATGCTTCCCAAATTACAGCATAGCAGGAAGCACTCCAGAGAATCATATTCATTGTATGACATCTTTTTACTTAGGGAAAGTTCCCGAAATAGGACTAAAACAGTTTGAAAATTCCAAAATAGGACGTACATGTTTTTTATTCCCAAAATAGGAGTAATTACTGCCAAGTTTGGAAAATAGTGCCAT